AAAATTTTTTTGTTTTATTTATATTATTTAAAAAAAAAAAAAAAAAAAAAAATCCTTACATTTTCCTCTGATCTGGTTTATTTACCTGCTGAACTGGGCAGGAAACACGTGATGACACTGAAAGTAAAAAAAAAAAGACCGGAAGTTATTCATTGTTTTCAAAAAATCTGGAATTTTGACAGGTGTGTGTAGAAGTAGTGAGTCATTGTAAGTTATCACAATTTAAAAATATTTAAGATTACAGACACAGGTAGATACTTCTTTAACTTCAGAGAAATCTCAGGCTGATTTTACAAAGTTCTTTAACCAACTGTGTAGTTTACAGGACAGAATAATGATGAGCAATGTAAGATTTTTATTTTTATTATTTTTTTTCATTTACAAATCCTTCAGCTGCCAGGACGCCTCGTCTGCCGTATTTTTGAGAGACGATCTGATGTGACTCAGCCCAGTCTGTTGACAAACGATGACAAGAAGCACCGAAAGCAGTTATATAAATTTTTTGTGCAGATGGGATTGTGTGTTTTCTTTTGCAACACTCAGTATCTCTTTAGAAGTAACGTATTTCTTTGGAGACTCGTATTTTGCTTTCATTATTCCTATTTGCATAGTCTAAACGTCCCTCAAACTATTATATATATGTCGTGAATGAACGTTTTCTAATATAAGACAAGCTACTGTGTTACATATCCTAACCCTTGTTAGGTGATTTAGATCTCTGCAAGACCTGCAGCTGTAAAGCATCATGTGTGTCATGTGCAACACACACATGTGGAAATGGTTACAGGTGGTACTTTGTGTTAGTATTAAGAGTTTTGTTACAAATGGATAGGGGAACTTTAAATCTAAACCTGCCATGAGCTTCTGACTACACATTTCAAAATTTCTGATTGTGTATAATTTAAAGTAAAGCATTAAAATGTTAAAGATAACGAGTGAGATGAAGGTCCTGCTGCTACAGAAAGCAAAAGGCTTGTTCCCTGTGTGCTGTTGCCAGACTTGAATTGGAATTGCATTAATTCTGCTCTATTGCATATCTTATATCTTCCCTCCTACTCATAAATCTTATTTATTAGTTGGACAGGTTTGCCAACGTATTAAATTATGCCGCACTGTCACAGTCAAACAGACAGCTCTCATGTTAAATATGCTGAAACAAAAAAATGACGTTAACTTTGATGTTGTACTCGTAATGACTAACCCTTGGGTTGTTTTTCCTCAACTCCTCTGCCGCTCTGCTGCTCTTCATCACCCAGTGTCGCACTACGAGGATGGTCGCCGTGGAAGTAACGAGGGCAGCACGGATCGGGACAGCCTGAGAAGCTGCACCTACTGCTGCAGGCCAACCAGTCGCATCTGAGCAAAGCCTCCTGGTGTCATGATGATTAAGTGTCTTTGGAGCACCCAGAACCCGCCCACCCAGTCTGGCCAGTAAGGCAGAGTAGATATTAGTCAATGTCCGCCAGAGCACATACCCAGACAACAGTTCTCCTCTCTTTCTTTTTTTTCTTTTCTTTTTGTAAGAACCAAATGTTTTTTTTTTTTTTTCTTATGTTCAAGTAAATCATTTCAGTACTTTAAGAAAAGTATTTGCCCAATTACAGATTGTTTTTTTTTTTTTTTTTTTTTGTCACACTTCAATATTTTGCTGCATCATTAAGCAGATTATACTGTCAAAGATAGAAGGAAAAATACAAGAAGCAGTTCATAAGTGATGATTTCAATTATTAAGGCAAGCTAACCAAAGCAAGGTTAATGACAGGGAAAGGTTCATCACAGCCTTTGCCTGTAATTGACCCCATTGTTGTTCAATTTTACAGCCACATACAGGACTAGTTATTGTCAGAACATCAGAATCAGGAAGAAACGTGAAGTAGGTCAAAAGATCTCAAAGGAATGAAACAACAGATGAGAAATAAAATTACTAAGTTTAAGTCTGAAAAGGGGTCCAAAAGCTTTAGGACCTACATTGTAGGCCCTATTATTTGAGGATAAGAGTAATTATCCTCAAATAATAATAATAAAAAAAAAAATAAAAATAATATTGTCATCTAGAAAGTCACTTCTGATGTGTAGAGCACTGCATGCCTCACATGCCTGAGTAAAATGTCCTCCATAATAGATCTAAAGTGAATATCGCTGCTGATTGGACCTAAATCTGTCAGAGACCGTGATCAGGCTGTTAAAACGTTCAAACGCTACAATGTGCCTGAATTAAAATTCTTCAAAGAAGAGTGAGATAACATTCCTGCACTGAGATATAAAAAAACTCATTGCAGGTTAACCCATGAGCTCGGTGGCAGTCTTTGCCAAGGATTGTTAAATTTAGCTACCAAATACTTTTTCACAAAGGGATACATTGTTTGAATAGTTTTTACCCTTAATAAATGAAATTACCATTTGAGAACTGCGTTTTGTATCAACTCAGGTGATCTGAAACATTTAGCTGTGACAACAAACCAAAAACTGAAAATAATCTGTAAGGCTGCTTTGAGAATCCAGAGGTTATTTCAGTTTAAAAAGGTCTAACTCAGCAATTATCTTTTTTTGTGCAGCCATAACAGAGCAGTTATTTATTTATTTTTTTTTTTTAACCAATGGTTCAGCATGTTAGCTTCACAGGGTGTTTCAATCAAAGAGGAGTTCTAAAAGCTGTGTCCTTTATCATAATTGTTATCTCATTATGTGAAACATCTACCTCTAATCATAATTTCTGTGTCTGCATCCATCTGGCCCACACACTCCACAATACTGGCAGCTTTCCCTGCAAAATCTGGCCAGGCAGGTTACAGAGAAAATGCCATTTAAAGGGAACCGGTACTTAAAGAGAGTCCTGCAGGTCTTTCTGCTCTTTATTCGTTAATGAAATGCCAGCAACTATCCAAGAAGTGACTCGAGTCAAGTAGCTGAACATTGTTTCTCCCTCAAGTTATGTTTTAATGCCTAGTGAACAACTCGGTTTGTGTGGAAGCTCTTCAAAACAAAAGTCCACTCAGGGAACATTTTAGACAAAGTAAACCGTTTCAATTAAACTGAATGCAGTTCTGCTGTAATGTGATTTGATCCGGTTGCTTTAACAAGTAGATGTAGTACCTTATAACCCAATTGACTCTTTTCAGTTTCCTATTCAGTTCCAGTATAGAAATCTGTCCAATCAAGTTTACTTATAATTGACTTTAGTTTTTTTTTTTTTTTTTTTTTTCTTTTTCCTCTGGTTTTAGTCCAGTTGAATCAGATTTAGTCTCACTCTTACAAACTGAATACTTCAGTCTAATTTATTATTCTAAATAAATAAATTGCTTCCAGTTTCTTCCAATTAAATATAATACGCTTCAATTAAAAAAAAAAAAAACAGACAGATTAACTCCAGTTCATTCCAGCTGAATATAGCTCAGCTCAAGTAAATACTAAATCTAATTTATTTTAGCTTTTTCACCCCCAGTTATAATCTAGTTCAGCTGTAACACAGTTCAACCTAGAAATCCTACTTAGAAAATTAGCCTAGTTATCATCCAACTGACTAAAATGTACTAAATTGTTTGAACTGAATACAATATATTTAAGTCCCAATATAATCCACTAAATTCAAATTCTGTCTCGGTTCAGCCCATTTTTACATCAAGCGTTTTCTAACTGAATGAAATGCATTTCAGTCCAGTGAAGCCCAGTTTAATCTGATTCTTTACTGGATGCAGTTTGTAGTGGGCATTAGTGGCTGGATATTCTATTCATGAATACACACAAAATGCCAAGCTTAAAATGTCATTTTCCCCAACAAATGCTGTTTTCATGTGGATGAGAAGTAAAAACACAGCAAATCAGGTGGATAATAACACAACATTTAACAGGAAATGTGTTTTGTGATCATAAAAGAGCTGCCTGTCTTAAAGCTGAGCATTTATTACTGCAAAATTAAGTTTTTTTTTTTTTTTTTACTTTTTTTTTTTTTTTTTTTTTTCCTTTTTTCCTTTGACTAATTACCACTTTGTGTAAACAATATGGAGATACCTGAAAGTAGCAATTAAAACATGGGGTTTTTGGACTCTTTGTTCTGGCTCAGACTGGGTTAGTAATGGGTGGTTTTGACCTGAAGTGTCTGCATGCTTCCTGTCGGGGTAAACCATTGAAATGTATGAATATCCAAAAGGAGACATTTTTGTTTGTTTGTTTTATGGCTGTTTTGTTACCAGAGGCTCAAACTGAGATCCCCACTATGTCTTCATATCCATGAGCTCTTATTATGCCATGAGGAACACAGAAATGCTTATGTTCACCATTTTGTTTTCAGCAAAAAGACATAATAATTAAAAAAAATAAAATAAAATAAACCAATAAAAAATAAAGAAATCCACAGGCTGTCAGCCTCCTGTCCTGGCCCAGACCCGGCTCATGTTGAGTCGGGAGGATCTCAGTCTGGGCGCTCTGCCTGCTCTGTGCTGTGCACCTCTAGTGGAAGAAGTTTTGGTCTACTGTTTGCATGACCTGGTTTAATATGTTTACATGAATGATGATCAATTAGTATAAAGACACAATTTAATATTACTATGTTGTATTGAAAACTGATGTAATTTTTTGAGCTATGTAATGTGAAGTGATTAACACCTGAAGTAACGTTGACAAAGTACAACACAGCACAGTGGACTTATCATTTGCATTGACTCGAACAGTCAAGTCTCTTTCTGAGTGATCTTTTTTCTGTACTATGTTTATTTATGGCTGTGTTTCCCAGCTTGTTTTTTTTTTTTTTTTCCCTCATCTTTGACCCTACTAAAGAAAAAAACAAACAAACATATCAGCTGTCGTGCTAAGTTAGTATTTTTTAAAATCTATTTTCAGCAGGGTCTTAAAAACAAATGTGCAAGTAGCAACAACTGGCTGCTGGAGTGAACTATTTACATTTGTCCTCTTAAGGAAAAGACACTGAAGCCATACATAGATTGTGATACGTTATTTATTTTTATTTGTTTTACTTATCGTACAACTCAACAACCACTCCACCTGCACAAACGATTGAAGACACATAATATTATTACTGCAACTTTACCACTGAATAAAAAAGGCCTATAATCCTGATATTCTTCACATCATTACCGGTATAAAAGAATGTATCCCATGATATGTTGGATTCTGTTTAAAGAAAAAAAAAAAAAGCTTTAGAAACTCAGTGAACTACCCCATCAACTGATCCTCCTTCGTTAAAGAGTTTTGTTTCATATGTAGCTGTTAATGTGGCTCCATAGTACAAAAAAAAAAAACAACAACAACAAGGCAATCACTCTGGATTTACATGACTGTAATTGTGGAATATATGCAAACTGTGTTTGAAGGGCTTCATGTTGAGTGTACTATAGCCAATGTTGATGACTTTGATAACCTGGCCATTATATGTTTGGTAAAGACTTTCTTTTGGGATTTATCTCCACCCGGCTGTTATTTTTTTTTTTTTTTTTTTTTTTAAGCTTATGTTAACCATTACAAACACACTAAAATGCATAAAGAAACACATGTATATTATATATATATAAATATATATATATAAAAAAATATAAATATAAGTATATATTGTATATCCTTTTTTGTAAAAGCTGTTTTGAGCTACAAATGTATGGATGCAATGCATCAGGGGTTATTGAAAAAGTTGTATGAAAATACGATTTGTACCCACAAAGAAACGACTGCAGGAAATGAAATAAAACTTCCTTGTCTATGCATTGTTTGTATTGTCGTGAGACGACGAGAAGGTCTTTATAATGGAAAGCAAAACGAGAAAACAGATTCGGTTGTGAACAAATTCAGTTCACAGATAACTATTTGCATTCTTTACGGTGTGCTTTGGTTTAAAGTTATAGATGTGCAGAAATTTCTTGGCCTTGCAGGTGAAGTTGATTTTGTATCTGATGAACCATTCTCTTGGATCTTCATGCTGTAAAAATACCAAAGAAATTTGATGACCAAGTCTATCTTCCTATTGGAAGAGAAACAAGTCCACAGCATCACAGATCTCTTTACCTAATAGAGGCCGCTTCTCCAGTTTTTCATCTGTGCCAATCCAGTGTGGAGGGGTATTTTTGCTGCAAAATTAAATGGCCCCATCTGACTCACACACACAGCTCCAGTTGAAATAACTTTGGACAAACTCAACATATCAGGACAGCCTCCCAACTAACTGGTTGTCATGTCGACACAGTCTAACAGCTGTGACACAGACTTAGACGCCTCTCTCTTTGCTGCATCTCTGAGAATCCTCCTATTTGTGTTGGCAAGACAGACATGAGACTCTTTTAATTAGGACTTTTTCAACTCCAGACTAACTGCACTCAAACAAAGATATTTCTACTTTTTTTTTTCTATGAGATTCTGATTCTGTTTGCTTAAACAATGTACAGATTTCCTTCTCTTTAAATTCAGAGGTTTAAACACATCCTCTGTATAGGGCGGGATTGCCTTTTAAACTGTATTACGCTGATGAAACCTTTTGTGAGTCTCTTTACAAGCTTCTCACAGTGGATTGTTGTAATTTTGGCTCATTTCTCCTGACAGGAAGGAATCGGCCGTCTATAAACGGAGTCAAGTTTATTGGCCTCCTCTCTCACCTTTTCTGTTCA